CCTCCCCCCAAAAAAAACCCAACCAAAAACAAAAACCCACAACAACAGCCCAAACCAAACCAAAACCCAAGATATCCCCCGAGGTACTGGTATTTTTATCTTCACCCACACGACGTTGCGTCATGAGCAGCTTTGCCTTGGCGCTCACCAACATCTTTTAGTTGTTTTTTAAAGTTTTAGTAGAGCTTTTACGGCGCTCGCAACTGCCTGCATAAGGTCATATGAGCGCAAGAAGATTAGAGGTGTTAGAAGAGAGTAACAAAAATAAAAAAGTAGAAGTTGAGATAAAGACGATAGATGTTTGATAGGAAAGAAGAAGCAAACCCCACCAGAGCACCCACTAACCACCCACCCACAATCTCTGCCTGTAGTTCTGTACCCAGGCTCACAACTGGCACTCACAACACTCTCCATGCCAGAGGCACAGGGACAAGTAAGCATAACATGAAGGAAGGTTACATGCAACTAAAGACAATCAATCTTTGCCTTGGCGCTCACCAAAATCCTTGCCCGTTGTTCTGTACTCAGGCTCACAACTGGAATTCACAACACTCTCCATGCTAGGAACAAGTAAATATAACGTGACGGGAGGTTACATGATACTAAAAAAAAGACAACCAATCTTTGCCTTGTCGGAAGCCAACTAAACAGATAAATAAACAAATAAATAAACAGATAGACAATAGATAAATTAAAGAAAGAAAGAAATTAGAAGATAAATAAATTGATTAATTAATCAATTACTTGGTTAATGAATCAAAGAATAAATATATAAATATCAATAGAAAGAAAGGAAGAAAGAAAGAAAGAAAGAAAGGGAGATGGCTTTCAGATTCTGAACATTGGTGATAGGGAAAGGATAAAAATAATGTATAATACATACATTATCCTAAAATTATAATATTTGTTTACCAGCATTTCATGCCAAATAGTACTGACTTTCAGAATACAAAAGGTAAGGTAAACCGAGATGACAATGGCACCTTTTATAGCTTCTAGGGTTTATGATATGAAAAGTCATGAGTTCCAATTTTAGGGTTCAAATTATGGGATGGCTGAATAATATTGATCTAGACCCTTTTGAGAGAAAATACGTCCAATTCTTTAAAATTCTACGAAGACACGTTCTAAAAGTTAATGAGGAGTCCACTGAAAAAACGGGCATAGTCACAAACTGGAAATTGTGAGGGTGTCAAATTTAGAAGCTTGTGGACTCATAAGTTGATATTTGTTTGACTGGTGTTTTATTGTTAAGTGTTGTTGAATGGGAAATCTAACAACAATAATCAACTAACAGCTGAACAGAAATACAGTTACAAGTCAACAAGTGTTCAAAATTGATACCCTCACGATTTTCAGTTTGTGACTATGCCCGTTTTTGCAGTGGACTCTTCAAATCTAACTAGTTGAGAGTAGCCAGGACATGGCAATCTGTAACATCGCCGGGAGAATAAATAAATAAATAAATAAACAGCGCAAAACTGGAAGAGGGGGATAAAGGGAGGGACTAAGAACTAAAAGATGCGCGGCTTCTGTCACTGCCAACTACAAGAGCTTTCCGAGTAGGTGTGTCCAAACTTTGTCTATTCCAAGTTTCTTCTATTTCAGTTTGAACTAAAGGGATTTTTGGATTCAGACCCTGAACCTGCTAACCGACGGTAGACAGGGAGAAGGAAAACCTGCCAACTGTTAACTACAACCAGGCCAATTTCACACCAGAGAAAATATTGTAGTTATGATTTCGATATAATGTTACGACTTATTTTTTTAAAAAGTTTTTTTACTGTGTTACGACTTAGAAACAAACAGTGCCTACTACGTACGACAAATAATCATTTCAAACATATAAATAAAAATAATGATATTATGGGTACTCCGACAGAATGTTTTTTTTATGTTCTCAATGTAACTTCAACATTATGACAATAAATGTTTTTAGATTAAATGAATGCTTCGTTCCTTAAATTTCAATTTTGTGTCATCCATCTGTTCGTTCAGGCTTTGAATATTAGCGTAGGTAACTTCAAGCTCTCTGGTAAAAGGTAGTCTGTACAGAGTACACCTGTAAGAGACGCTATCTTTCTTGTGCATCGGCCTTTGGGGCAATCTGAGTTCACTAGCGTGTAAGGTTATTGTTCTTGGCTCAGGTTGGCTAGTCACGAAAGCAGAATAAGTTGAGGACGCTGGAACAAGCTGTTGGTAGATCCGATTATCTGCCCATCGTCTAGTCCTTGCTACAGGAAGATCAGGATCTGGAAGAGACCACCCCTTTCTCTCTCTCTCTCTCTCTCTCTCTCTCTCTCTCT